CTGTACCCAGCGCTTGTATGTATGTATAAATAAATAAATAAATAAATCTTTAATTTAAAAAAAAGAATCAAGGGATGATATGGTTTTGGGGTTCTTGTCCTCGAGAGCCTTCAGACAGATGCCACAGACAGCGCCTATATTGGGGGGATGTCTTTGTTTTTGTTGGATGTTTTGATTTATATAGATTTTTTGGTTTAAGTAGGACAGGAGCTATAAGGAGGTTGTGTTTGGCTTTTTGCTCCATGCATATAACTCAAGCTGAAAAATCAAGCCAATTTTTAATTTGTAAAAAAGGAAGTGGGTTGCCATAGCAACATGGATTTAAACAGTGTAATGAATTCAGGAAGTTCTCACACTTATTACCACCTTTGTGAACTTGAACAAGACACTGACGCTTAGGATCCTGTTTTACCCCAAGTGTGATTCCTGGGAGTTTATTTAAAATGCAGACTCTCAGTCCCAGACATACTGAATGTAAATCTGTCCCCATGTCATTGGTCTACACAGTTTGCAAAAGCCTTGTTCAACAAGCCCTGCGGTCAAATGACAACGGTACTCCCCATCTCTGGACCAATCACTGCAGTATGAGGAAGACCAGATGAGATAATATAATACATGTAACCTGATTTGAAGCTGCAAAGCACTGCACAAATGCCAAGAACTCATAATGTCTTCCAATGTGAAAACTGGGCATGGTAATTGTGGTGTTGACCAAAATGCTTCTTAGCTAATGTTAATCACTGTAATGGGATTGGTTTTTCCTGATCCTTGCTCATGATACCTTAATGTTATTTTCCAGATTATGACCTTTCAAAGATGAGAGACTTTATCAATCAACAAGCTGATGTTTATGTGGAGAAAGGCATCCTTGATAAAGAAGAGGCCGATGCTATCAAGCGCATTTACAGCAGCCTGTAAAAATAGCAAAAGACCCAGGAGTCTTTCCACCTTTTTGGAAACCGTAATATAGCTTCAAACACTCCTAATTCTGTGATTAAAGTCGTTTTGACCCAAGGATTATTAGAAAGTACTGGATTTATAGTAGCTAACCTTTTAGAAATGGTTAAAACATAGCTTTCTTGCTATAAAAATTATGTGAAAAGTAAAGTTGTATGTAAGTTGAAATTTTGTATATAGAATCCTTATTTCTTCATATATTTACATTTTATAATCAGAGGTATGTTTTTGGAAAGTTTTTAATGGACTGAATTTAAATCTGAAACTTCTTTCCACACATAAGCAGCCCCTGAAGCATTAAGGGAGCTTTGTTTGAAGGCATGCTATATATGACAGCACCTGGTAGAATGTGTGTATTACAAGATGTTTTTTCCACCACCAGTTCCCTTTGGCAGTTGAAATGAATTTAAGTTCCTCATAGTCTCCATAGCATAAAGGAGAGTTACCTGCTTTTGTGACTGTGCTTTTAGTTAACCCTTTATCAGGCCCAATGACATAAAAATGGACCTGAAAAATGGGCATAGGATTTGCTGGATTTACTAAAACCTCCCCACTCTTAAATTTTCTATTAATGAGTTTTCAGTCATTGAATTTGTTAGAGCGACAACACATATTCTCTAAGAAGAAAATGAGATCCCAAGTACATAAAGCAAGGTAAAAATTTATTCCAGATCCAAGTTATCTAAATTGGCTTTGATTCAAGCCAAGGCTTCTCAGTAGAGCAGAAATCAAGATAAAAATTATTCCCTTCTTGGTGAACCAAAGATAGCTGAGCTTCTCCTGTAGAAAACGTCTAGTGAACTCTGGAAGCCTGCCACTCCCTTCCTCAGCAACCACCACAAACACAGCCCCCTGAGGATTGTGATAAGCACACAGTGGCCCGGGGACCTCTAGAAATGCTAATGGTCACAGTATGCTTTAAAAATGTATCATCCAATATAAATTAATTACAAAATTTTTGAAATGTAGTTCAGTTGAAAAATCATAAAAATATGATGCTTTGTGTATTAAGTGTTGCCACTTCAAAATGCCTTCTTGAATATCTCATATTCACTTTTTGGTAAGACTAAGCTTTTTCTCAAGGGTAGGAGACTACTGTTGTTCCTCTTCCTCATCTTCTCTAGAAAATTGCAAAAATATACCAAAACCAAAGCCTGCAACACAGAGAAATTAACTCACTCATAAAAAATCAGGACCCATTAGGGATACCAAGAGGGAACAAAAACCACCCGTGCCCACTCTATGCACTTGTCAAAGTCAAATGATTCACCGTTTTAATGCGTCATCCTTGATAACAAGGCCAACTACTCCATACTCAGGGTTTCGAAAAGGTTGATTCTACATCAGAGAGAAAAAACTGGCTGTAACTAAAGCTTTATCCATTCACTTTTCTATAATTTATCTAAATATCTATGTAGTATCTTTTAAATTAGAAATGTATTTAGGGAGCTTATGGTAGCTTTCAGAGCACATTGACATTCACGCTCTCCTATCAACAAAAAGTCATTTTTTATAAATGAAGAAACTGGTTCATAAAAGGAAAACAGAGTGGTAGAGCTGGAAAGAACCCAGGCTTCCTGTTCCATCAGCCCTTCCACAGAGATTCCAGGTGCACAGAAGCCAAAAGTGCTCACGCACAACTCAGTTCAACTATGGCCACGACAGTCATAACATGAAGGTGAAGGGAGAGATATTTTGGCTAGAAATTGCTAAGAGACCTTAGGCAAAAATAAAGCACTGAGAAATATGTTTTTGAGATTGCGGTCTTGATGGGGTTCTGATGAGATGTTGGGGTTCAGTGAGTGGGGTCTTTGGTTTGCCTCTGAGAAAGCGCTGGCAGAGTTCCCGTTAGTGGCACACAGCAATTTTACCCAGGAGTCAAAGATGTTTGCACAGACTTAGGCAGATAAAATATCCAAAAAGGGTAAGTTTGTTAGGGAAAAAAGGAAGGCTTGCACAGATATGGGGGGCAGAGAGTGCTGTAGCTTTTTAAAGGGACAGAAAAGAGACACCTGCATAGACCTGGTGGGCAGTCTTGGGACAGAGCTGCATTTTGCTAGGGCAGGAGTTGTTGCTATATAGTGTTCCTTTTTGGGGGAGGGGTTCATTTCTTTGTGAAATTTTTATCCATTGTTAAATTAACCACTACTAGATCAGTCCTCCACATCCCCACCTCTGGTCCCCACTTATTTTCTATAGCAGTCCTTTGTAATGGCTGACACTCCCATATCTGTATCTCCAGGCCAGCTGAGCTTAAGAATTTCACTTTTTTGAAATATTTTTTTGTAGAAGAACTGAGGTGTAGGCTGCAAGTGTGAGAGGATTCACCAGACAGAGTGGGGAGCAGAGCAGGTGAACTTACTGAAATACACAAAGGAAAGCAGTGATAGCATTGATAGTGCTGAGACATAACCCCTAGACTGCCACGGAGAACCGATTTTTCATTTCTATAGCTGTTTAATGACGATGTTAATCATTTCTAACCCCACCTCCAGTTTCTGGTCTTGTGATGCCTCCATCCCAAATTTTCTACTCTAAGCCTCCAACAGTCTCAGTCACAAATTTGAGCTTAAGTTATGTCATTTGGTAGTGTTTTGGGGGCTTAAGTCTTCTGGATTACTCTCAAATTTCTAATTAGGTTAAACAGCATGATAATGCTACATTTTTTAAAGTTCCCAAGCATCCACCAAGATCTGAGTCTTTTCGTACATATACAACTACTTCCTTTCCTATTTTTTTTTTAAAGTTTTCTCCTCCAGCTAACTCTCCACAAGAAAAGTGGATACAAGAAAAGAGCAAAATAACATCAGAAGAAAACAATAATAGCCTGAGTTATTATCATGACAAAAATAAACAAAACAAGCAAAAAAAATAAGGGATTATGTATGTTCTGAACAAGCAAGAAATTCAAGAAAGGGTGGACAGCTACTATTATCCATTCACATACCTGATAATCAGTCCAAAGGCTGGATCTGTGCTGTTCCAGTTCTGTGAGCTCTGCTGCATTAAACTATGGGCACTTGTTTCCCTGCTTAGTGGAAGACTGGAGGAGTCAATGAGAGGGGAAAATGAGGAAAGAAAAAAGAAGGAGAAAAGACTGGAAACAAAGGTCCTTTTTGACCCAGACTCCTTTGGGGATGGTGGAGAGGGTGGGGTAAATATATGAAATTTTATGGAAGTTTAAAGATGTATTTAAACTGGTACTTAAGAAATCCAGATCTCCACCAAATTTAATGTTAAATAATATGCTGCTGAAAGTTTACTGATGCAACCTATACACACAAAAGACAAATTTTATAAATAAAAACCTAACTCAATTCAAATGAGTACAGTGATAACAAAACTCTCTATATAAAGTGACTTATCAATGCAATCTAGAGAGTCAGATCACAATATTACTTATTTTTTCTTTGGATCATATTCCATGTTTCCACTATATTTGTGTTGACTGAAAATAAAGCCTCACAGATAGTAAGATCTGAATCCTGGAAATAGTGCACTAGATTTACTCTGTGAGAGTTGTTCTAATAAATATGTTTGAATTTAGTTTATATAGGTAGGAATACTGAGTTATTGACATTAAGAATGCAATTATTTTTGATAGAAGGGACTTCTAGTCCTGATCTAAAGATATACAGATAGTAAAGGCAACAGAGGATTTAATCTCTTCCATTTTTAAAGAATGCACTGCAGAAATGTAAAAGCTGGGTACCCATTATTCAATCTTTTTTATCTGTTAAAACTTAATCTGAAAAAACTGATTTCACCTTCAGGTATCAGATTTCTATATTTAGTATAGAATTACTAAAGACCACTTTGATCTCTTGCCTGCTAGATTGGGAGGAAAGGGACCCCAGAAATTTTACAATGGTTAACATCTGACACATTTTAGGTGAAATATTATGAACATGCAAAGATAAACCTTTTTTTCAAAATGTCAGTTATAATAAATACCATTAAGCAAAGAACAATTACTATTTCAAGTATATAACTGAAAAATCAATTTATTTTCCTATTGCAGAAAATAATTGAAGACTCAAATATGAAAACATAGTTTATTTTCTCATTCAGACTCTTGTAGTTTATTTTTACAAAATAGCAAACAAAATTTGGTTCTTCATATTAATACAGAAAAAGTAATACATACCGAAATATATATATATAGCACTTAAGTTATAAACACATAGCAAAATCAGCATCACACAACCAGCAACCAGCAACCAGTTTTTTACATAATTAGGACTTCTCAGAAGATAAACATTGTTTTTAGCTTGCATATGTAAATAGTCTTTGATGCTTTATATCAACTAGTATTTACAAAAGCTAGTCTAAAAACTACCACCACCTACAAAAGTGGTGAGCTTTTGGATACAATTTGCTATCATGCCATAATAAAGACTTCAAATTATAGAAAGCCAGCAGGGACTAATCACTTCAGTGCAATCGTAATAGGTAGAACTTCTTAACTGTGATTTAAAAATGTACACTGTGAGAATCCAAAAGGGATGCTTTTGAATCTTCAGTTGTTGGTTTCTTTATGATTCAACGATCTCTTAATCCAGGCTTGATTATGCCCCCTGATCACTACCTAACTGTGATAGAGGGAAGTTGCATAGGGACTTTCTTCATCTCTGGGAGAAAAAAAAACAAACAGCATTAAGTCAGTGTTTAAAAACTGTATTCAGAAAACTAACACATATATTTATTATACAACTTAATATCCATTTGCAGTAAGGCAAGAATGTATGAATTTAATAAAAGCTTGCAGGCCTTGAAAGTTATATGAAATGTAAATACTCATTAAGGTGTACTTTATTGTTTCCATTTTATTGGCATTTCATTTATGAGATAAATAATGGTATTCATTATAAACTTATATTTTTTTATATTACACTTAAATGAGGCATGTTAAATTATAAGTTAATTATATTCATATGTATATTTGCTTGGGTTTTGGTATTCTACCTTTCTCAAAAGAATTTGAGGTACCCAAAACAAAGCACATACATATAAATGATGAATAAAATAAAAATAAAAAATCAGGACTAAGGAAAGGTAAAATGTACAACTATATTAACCACAACAAATATTATAGTAGTTGAACTGAGGATCAGTTTTAGTTGTAAGCTTCCTGGTAGCCAGGGCAAAAAGGGAAACACGGTAAGTTGTACCATTCTTAGAGTTTTAAAGGAAAATGAAAACCAATTCTATGGGAGAGATAAAGGCTTGCACTAGTACCAAATTAAATACCAAAAAATTCACATGAGATTTTATGTAGAAACACCCGGTAACACATAATGACAAATTTTAGAAGGATCAGTGTTTTCTAGGACACCGCTTCCTTTGAAGGTGGCAATTAGATGTTTCTATTTGGCTACTAGCCAGAATTGCTGGCTGGACGGTTATACTATCAGAGCAAAGGAGTAATTTTTTTAATAATAACTAACAGAGACAAAAGCGTCACAACAGATAAAACCTTATGCAAAGCAATACTGTTTAGACTTTGTGTGTTTAAAAATACCTCTCTAGAATCAAAATACAGTTTTAAAGAAAAGAACTTGGCCAAACAAGGGCAGTCACAGTGATTTACTCAGCCCTGGACATTTTACCAGAGCTTTTGTACCTGCTCTCTTCTTTCAGTTTCTTAGCTGCCTGTGTTGATAACTTAATCTGCAAGTCTAGTCTCTGTAGGAAATCTCTGGCTGATACTTCCTCAGGCTGCACAGGCTGAGTATCAGACTCTTGAGGACTGGCAGGAGAGAGGTCTTCCCCAGTCGCCACTTGCTCTTCTTCATGAGAAAAACTGCTATCAACAGTTTCATTTTCTGGAGAATCTATTGAGTTAAGTCCATTGAACAGCAAAGGCCTCTCTGATATAATTGGGATGTTCAAAGTTTTCTTCAGAAATATACAATCATTGGTGAACAGTTTGTTTGCCCTTTTAATTTGCTCCATCTAAAATATAAAAAAAGAAAAAGTGTTACGTATAAATAAATCCAGGATGCGGCTTATCACACAACACAGAACTAAAAATATTCAAGAGTAAAATGTGTGCAATGCTTTCTTTGGACTTGAGATTATTTTTCTTTTTAAGATTTATTTATTTATGCACACAAAAGCTGGGGTGTAGGCCAGAGGTGCAGGGGGGTGAGAGGTTCACCAAAGACAGAGTGAGGAGCAGAAAAGGCACTGCTGAGGGGAGCAGGGGGTGAGACAGGAGGGGTCTGCTGCGCCATGTGGGGTAGCTCCCTGGTCAGGGATTGAACTCATACTTCAGTGGCTGTGGATAGCTTGATAGTGCTGAGACTTAACCCCTTGCACCACCAGGGAGACCCTGGACTTGAGATTCTTAATCCAGATTAAGTCACATCCCCCAATAGCCCCCAGATATTTCAAGAGATGTCAGGAAATTGTATTTCTCAGTTTTCAAAAAGAAAGACTAATTTCCCCCAGTACATTATTTCCTTTACAAGGCAGTTTTTGCCAATATCAGCAGCCTTAATAACAAACTCTGAAAACCTGACTATGAAATTGAGGCTACAAACTGGGGAAGGGGAGGAAGGAAAATAAAGTGAGCAGGGAGCACAATGGACGGTGGTACAGTCTGTGGGGCCTTGGTGGTGGGTGTGGTGTGAGGACATGCATCTAAGATGGTGTGATCCTGTGTCTCTGAATTACACATAGTTGTATGTTACCTCAATTTTAAAAAGTTGATTTTTTAAATAAATTCCATTCTTATTTTAATATTTTTATTATCTGATATTTTAAAAATACATTAGGACTGTTATTTCACTTATGAAATACTTTCTGTGTTTCTGGAATTGTGTTTGGTAAACCTAATGGATATAGGGGCTGGTACAGGGATAAATGAGAATTTGGAAAAATAGTGTAGACTGGGTTGCAGTCATTAAGAAAGTCCTCACAGAAGAGGGAGGCTCTTATTTTGATTATATTTGCATTTAGGTGGGTCTTGAAGAATGGGTGAAATCGGGCCAAGAAAGGAAATTCGGAAGGAGAGAGCACTTTACATACGGTGGCTCATTTTTTCCTGCCCTGTGGAGAAAGTATTGAAAGACCCACTTTACAAACAAAAGAAACAAAGTTCATAGAGATTATATATCATGGCATCATCATACAAATGGCAGATGAAGAAGCTAGAATTTATTATGGTTTCTGCAACCTCAAACTCTTTCACAGCCTGTGGATGCTCCCCACAAAACCATAGAAACGGAGGAGGAGGTAGGGGTCAAAGACAGACTGCAATTCACACTTGCTACACCATTTAACTTTCATAATAGTTCTATAATCTAGATAATATCCTCTCTGTTTTTAAAGTGAAGAAAAGACTCAAGAGTTAAGTGCATGCCTGAGGCCACAATGCTGGAAAGTACAGAGAGGACTCAAGTTATTTGGTTCCAAGCATGCTGGAGAAATGCCTACGCTTATGTTCATCACACTGTATTATAGTGTGTCTGCAGGTTTCTCCACACAACTACCCTGGAAACTCAAACCATGCTAAGCTCTTTATATGCACCATACCATCTTATTTTCATCACAACTCTTGTGACGTGTAATCAAGATAGTCTGGTACAAAAGCTAAGCCATTCTGGCTTGTGAATCTGACAGCCCTGGTTTCAAATCTCAGTTCAACCAAAGTGAAAGATCTGAACATGAACTTCTTACTCATCTCACTAAAACAAAACTTGTGTAAAACAGGTATTGTCTATTTCCCACAGAAAATTAAATGAGTGTATACATTATTATATATATATATATACACACGCATATAATATATATATTATATATATATATATATATACACACACACACACACACACATACTAGTACAGGGGATATCCACGTACATAAGAAAGAAAGAAAAAAGAGACCATTTAGCAGAGCAAGTGGGCAGTAGATGGTACTTATTACTCACCCTTTTCCAGTGAAGAAACTAAACACACAAAGGATGACTGGTTTTGTTTTTTGTTTTTTTTTAAAGATTTTATTTTATTTATTTATACAAGCACTGGGTACAGTCAGAAGCACGGAGGGTGAGAGAATTCACCAGAGGCACAGGGGAGAGCAGAGCAGGAAGACTGACAAGTACACTGCTGAGGAGAGCAGGGGTTGGCAGGGCATGGCAGGAGAGGTCTGCGCACCATGTGGGACCCTCTCCTGATGGCTGGGATCGAACCAGCACTGCAGAAGCCGCGGGCTGCTTCGCAACCCAGCGCTCAGCCGCTGCACCACCAGGGAGGCCCAGGATGACTGGTTTGACCAAGTACACACATGGCTCTTAAAATCTATCAGCAAAATATCTGTCTAACTCTAAAATCCATTAAACACTGTGATTTAAGTGCACAACTAATGGGACCAAATTACGGGAGTTCTTTAATGCCAAATTGATTGAGTGAAAAAGTTTTCTGCAGAGAGTTTGAAAAAACAATAATCAAATAAATGGACCCAGTTTCTCCTATTTTCCTATTATAAGCTGAATCCATGAAACAGTACACTTAAAGCTATTTTTTTTTCTTTTAAAGATACAGTCATGTACCACATAACAACATTTTGATCAACAAAAGACTGAGTACATGACAGTGGTCCCTATATGTAGCCTAGATGTGTTATAGGCTATCCTGTCTAGGTCTGTACAATTATCAATAATTCTATGATGTTCACACAATGACATTGCCTAATGACACATTTTTCAGAGCACATACCTGCCATTAATAGGCACATGACTGTTCTCCATTATTTTTTGTGTAGGGTTGAAAGCGAGAGGTTGTGATACAGGCATTTTATTTATGGAATCCCAAGCTAATCCATACTGCAAGCCCAGGGTTTCAAGGCTCCCTAGCGTCATTAACAGGGAGGTTCCAGGAGCCCCTATATTGTTAAACTTTGCTATATGCTACAAAACTGTTGCAACATTATGTTTTCAAGCTATCTTTGCAGAACATCTGAACTCTGCCATCACCAAAAGAGGAAGCGTCAGTATTAAAAAAACTAGCAACAACAAATGTTGGCAAGGATGTGGAGAAAAAGGAACTCTCCTGCACTGCTGGTGGGTGTGCAAACTGGTCCAGCCAGTATGGAAAGCTGTGTGAGATTCCTCAGCCTGCTAAGATAGAGCTTCCATATGATCCAGCAATTCCGCTCCTAGGTATTTACCCAAAAGACACAAAACATTAATTCAAAAGGGCACCTGCACCCCTATGTTTATAGCAGCACTATTTACAATAGCTAAGCTTTGGGAACAATCCAAATGCCCCAAAACAGATGACTGGATCAAGAAGATGTGGTACATATACACAATGGAATATTACTCAGCAATCAAAAAGATAAACACATGCAATTTGCGGCAACATGGATGGAGCTGGAAGGGATCATGCTCAGTGAAATAAGCCAGCAAGAAAAAGAAAAATACCGGATGGTCTCACTCATAGCAGGAATCTAGAAAACCTAAATAAGGGACCAGGAAAAAGAATAACTATAAGAAAGAAAAAAATCAAAATCAACAAACAACTATGAACCAGAGACACACACTTTGGCGGGGGGGGGGGGGGGATTGGGGTCAAAAAGGGGGTTGCAATTGTATGGGGAATATAAAAATAAAATTTATTATTTAAAAAAAAGAATAAAAAAAATAGAAAAAAAAAAGTCTTAGCACTATCAAGCTATCACCACTGTGGCCTGAGTTTAACCCCTGGTCAGGGAGCTAACCCACATGGCGCAGCAGACCTCACCTACCTGTCTCACTTGCTGTTCCCCTCTGCAGTGTATTTCAGGAGATCTGCCTGTTTTGCTCCCCTCTCTGTCTCTGGTGAACCCTCTCACCTCTACCCCACACCTCTGGTCTGTACCCCAGTTCTTGTATGCATAGATATATAAATCTTACCCCAAAAAGACCAGATTAAAAAGCATATATGGGGAAGTGAAAAGTGACCAAAAGTTGCTGACATGTCATTGTAATGTTAAAATTTAATGAGATGGATGGGATTTAGCTGCCCTTTCTGCACATGTGATGTGTGGTGAAGCATGATCACTGACTGAGCAGATGCCAACAAAGAAATGCCTAGAACACATCAGAGGGAGAACTATGTGGTTACTACCACCACCACTTCCCGGCCCATTCTAAGCACAACTCAACATATTCTGTTCTTTTGGAGACAAATTGAGAGACTCTGATGCCCAGAAAGGTCTCCCTGGAGGGCTCTTTTGCCCTCCACCCCATATCTCCAGTCGGTATCTGGAGTCCTCATTTCATTCCTGATTGGGGTTCTCAAGAGCCCACAGGCTGGTCTGGTATCTGATGATATACACCTTACCACGTAACTTTCCTTCCTTTTTTTTTTAAAAAAGATTTATTTTATTTATCTATGCATACAAGAACTGGGTACAGGCCAGAGGTGCAGGTGGTGAGAGGAATCACCAGAGACAGAGTGGGGAACAGAACAGGCAGATTGACTGAAATACACTGCTGAGGGGAGCAGTGGGCAAGACAGGAGAGGTCTGCTGCGCCATGTGGGTTAGCTCCCTGGCCAGGGATCAAACTCGTGCTACAGTGACTGACCACAGCTTCATAGTGCTGAGCCTTAACCCCTTGTGCCACCAGGGAGGCCCATATCTGCTTTTCAAAGAGCTCACTGGGTATAACTCACTCATGTTGCCAGAGGCTTGGATGAAGGACCAGAAATCCCTCCCTTGTCTGCAGGGTTACCAAGACTAGTCCAGAAGCAGGGTGAGGTGGTCTTTTGAATTCTAGTTTCTAATTAGAGTGAAGACAAGGGTAAAAAAGAGAGAATGTGAATGGACAGATGCATTAAAGAGACAAATTTTAAATCTAAAAACCCTAGCTATCTGTGGCCAACTTTAGGCTTAGATTTTAAAGAGATAAATAACCTGGATACTTATCCATAATGGCTTGGCTATAGTCTATTGTGCCTCAGTGCCCC